GTCAGTGGGCACATATAAGCTTACATGAGTCACTGTGGAGTTAGTAAACAGGTTGGTTTGAGGAAAAGCGTCTCACAGAATCAGTCCTTCCTTCTTGTTTTGTTTTGTTTTTTTACACCTGTAGACTTTCAGAGGATTGCATCAAGTGTGAAATGTTTGATTGCAGGTTAGATTAGTGAGTGTGAGGGTGTGTTTGTGGATGTTTTCACCATGATGACATCACCTCTGAAAGGGTATAAATACCCATTATTCAATCTTTCTGTTTGAAAATCTAAGATTACATGTTTACTGAAAACTAGAAACATTATCCTCCTCTGTTGAGTCATAACACTCGACATAAAGACGAGAAAATTACATAAAGTAAAAGATGACATCATGTGAATCCCCATAAAAGATGACAACATGTTGTATGAAAGCAGGTTTGTTCTTTCAGAGGCTCCATTCACATATCCTCACCTGTCAGGGCTGAGATTTAAGTCTTTGAAATACACAGTTGTTGCAGGAGGCTGGAGTGCCCCCTGCTGGTAAGGGCTATAATAACTCAATAACATATGACTTGTACTCGTTTTCAATTGCACTTTTTCACCTTGGTTACTCAAGTGTTCACAGTCTAAAGCCATGGAGGTAAAATAAGAATACAACAATATATGAATCCAATATATATTAATAATATTTATCCTCGAGCAAAGCAAGAAAAGCACAAAAAGGGAATCAGAAGTCAGAAACAAAAGTATTCAAGTCACTTGCTTGTTAAAATATTCACTTGTAGATATCATTCTAAGTGAAGCACACTCAAAGAAAATAAAAATCTTTGTCTCTGGATCGCCTTCTTACTGTGTCATGTTTCTTAATAATTGATGCATGCCTGGAATTCAGTTGTAGTTTTCAAATCATTTCGGGGTCTTTTTGATCCACTTGCAGTTACTTTGTCTCCACAGAGCTTGAAGCAAAGTCACAACATTTGGATTACCACTTATCGCACTCGGGCATGCCAGAAAATTAAACCTCCATAGCCTCTGGTGAATGCTCTGCTGGTCAGGGGCACTTTGCATTTCAGAGTCATTACTTTGCTGTGCTGCACTGCTTGTCTTCTGCAACTGTGTTGCATGAGCAACCTTTCAGGATCAAGTCCTGAGTAATTATCGAGTTTCAGTGATTGTCCAGTCCCCAGACTTTAATATTTGTAGAGAGAGATTAGTTGTTTATTTCCTAGGCCATGGATTTTCTTCCAGGCTGGATAACTGGAGCAATCTTAAAGAGTCAAGAGGATCAGTTTGGGTTCAGCAGCCTGAGTCGCTGCACAGCACATAAAGAAAGCCGGTCCCCAGAAATCAGCTCAGTCTTTATTCTCCTAATACATTATTGAAAGCTATTTTTTGCAGCTGCACTCCAAGAACAAAGGTACTGCGGTTGTCACTTTCAACTTCACAGACATAACAGGGAGGATATTTTGGGAGTTGTATTCTTCATTCTTTCTCCCTTGCACCGAAGTTCTCCAAGACTTGCCTTCCCTGAAGCAGTTCTTGTCTGCCAGAATCATGTGTGTGATGAGAGGGTTTTTTTTTTCCATTATCTGTTGTTCAAAAGGGTCTTCGTAGGTTTGGAATACACCCAATTCTCTTTGCAGGCCATTTTTCACCAAAGTAAATGTTTTTGTTATATAAGAATTTCATTCATGAGCTTTTTTTTACTTTCATGTCTTTAGTTTGATCTTGAGTTGCTCTTTTCAGTTGATTCAGACTTCAGCTTCATGTTTTCTTGTTTTACCTCCTTCCTGTGTGAGGCATGCAGCACTTACCAGACACATCAGGATGTCAGGTCCCAAAACTGCATGGCTGAATTATCACAATCTTTCCTTCCCACCCTCCTCTTAAAGCACACCAGACTTCAAATGTTGTGCAGAGTTACTGAGATGTTACACTGTCACAGTCCGGACTTTAGGTTACAAATCCTCAGAGCCCTGCAGAGCAACCAAGCGAGACCCTGAGTCACCAACTGTGCTGTGTTTGTGTGTGTGTGTGTGTGTGTGTGTGTGTGCGCCTGTGCATGTGCCTGGGTGTGTGTGTGTGCGTGTGTTTCAGAATGGAGCACTGTAAAAAAACAGACTGGAAGCTCCTAAGGAATGCCTCACACAAGGCAACATGCAGCTCTGTTGTATGCCAGGCATAAAATAAAAACATCGCTCCCTGTGCAATGTTTGTTTTTAGATTCAGTCTGCAACCTGAGCTAATGATTAATTACAGAATAGTTATTATGGCTGTCAGTTCACAGTGGGGTTAGGCTAAAGAAGTCAGAAAATGTTCCCTGAGCTAGAGGAGGTATAAAAGGCCTGTTAGTGTCATCAGATGAGCACATAGAGGGAGGTTTTTTTTTTCTTTACTGTACCTGAAGTACAGTGTGTACTTATCAACCTTTGGGTGCATTCCCAGGTGAACGCTTACATCTCTGTTTTTTACTTTTAGGCTGCTGTACTATAGACTGTAAAAAATGTTCCTAAGAAAGCTTTAGATCAGGGGTCTCCAACAGGTAGCTCGGGAGCTACTGGTAGGTTTTCAGTAGCTCGCCTATAGGTCTGTGTTAAAAATAAAAATAAAAATCTGACGACGGTAAATGCACCTCTTCCCACTATTCATATATTTGGCCCATAAAAACAAGTATGAAGTACTAATGTTTTCTTGGACATTGATGTGAAATTAAGATTATTGATAAGCATTGGCTTTCACACATGTGCAAACAGTGGCTTAATTCAGCTGAGCTATGTAAATAAATGCAAGCGATTTGATGAAAGTAGCTCTCAGATGAAAAAAGGTTGGAGACCCCTGCTTTAGATGCTCTAATAATTTGAGTTTGTTACCTTTAAAGCCAGAGCCCATCCTTCATCATTTAGCCTCTATGTTAAATCTAACCACAGACTTTAGATCAAAATTCATATACAGACATTGGATCAGTTTCAATCGTGTCTTCTTACAGAAAACTGAACATACAGCTACATAGAGTTATTCATATATCAAGTTTGCAATGAGTGAAAAGTCAGGAGGTAGGCTAGTTAGCAAGACTAGAGGAAATAAAAACAAACAGCTGACCACTAGAGCCCTTTTTGGATCCCTCAAACAGAAATGTAAAAACAGCTCTTTGTTCTTTAAGATGGATATATTCAAATACTGTTAGTTTACATGATGTAAAAAAAAAAGCATGTTGATATTTCACAATTAATGTAAACCTTTCCTGTAATAGTTTTGTGCCATGCTATCAAAGTTAATGTTAGTTTGGAAGCAGTGGAATGCTAATGTCAGCTAGTCTAACCATAGCTTACAGGTTAGCCTACTTAATGTTTTTTATGCGCTTTGCATCTGAGAAGAAAGTTAGCATACATGACTGTTATACAAAATATGAAATGGAAACAAAGTTTAAATAATCTTTTTTCTACTATCCTATTTATATTTCTCTGGTTGTGTTGGCCCATTAAAATGTTGCAATGAATAATTCAGAGCTGTAGAAATGTTGCATTTTAGCAAATTTATAATGTAGGCCTAATGGTTTTGAGACTACTTTTTGTTTTGTATCTTAGTATTCATGTATGGAAACCCTAAGCAGACATGTGAGCTATCCATAAACTTCTATTTTCCTTAGATAAAGAGTAATTTCTGGTATTTTTTGTCATTATCTCTCGATAAAAAAGCTTTTTTTTCTGGTGATAGTGGGATAGTTTTTCTGGAAACTATAAAACAAAACATTTGGCTCTTCATTGCCATAAGCCAGACCACAGCATGCCATGCTACCATTGCCCCACACCTGTTTCTGTTTGCTTTGTGCTTATGTTACTCTGGGGTTAGGAAATAAACAAGTCAAGATCTCAAGAAAACAACTGGAAATTACTCATAACCACAGAGAAATTGTATGGATGCATGCTCACGGCTTCGGTAATCTTTCAAATATAACACCAAGACACATTCTTTTTATGATTACCTACATGGCAATGAATCTGTTTCTGATTATGTAAACAATTTTCTGTGAACATTGTAAGTATCTATTTTTTTTTAAGTACCATATCTTTATTTTTGTCAAAGTGTTGCGATATAAATCTCTGTGTCCTGTGATTGCAGATTTTATCCGTCCTGTTTATTCTGCCCTCTCCTACCTCAAATCTTTACCAGCTAAATGACACCAGGGAACAAAGTTACACACTTCAGTTAGTCCTTTTAACAGTGAGGACACCCTGCCCCAGTCTTCTGCTTCAGCATACAACTATAAGCTTATAGCTGTATTAGCAACATGTTTTGTAGAGTGCAACTCCTCATAATCCCTAATAGATGGTTACAAACTACCTCACAGGTCAGACTGTTCTCCTGTTTGTGTGAACGCTACCATGACCAGGGAGATATTACACCCCAAACCCAGACCCTTATGGTCAGAACTGTTGAGAAAAGATGACAAGAATACAATGGCTGAAAATTGCAGTTACCCAAGAAGCACTTCAGTGGAGTGACCACTGCATGAGTAAGATGGACAAGAGAGCCTCCACTTTGTATCCCTGGACAAAAAAATGACCTTTAAAACTAAACTGTCAAGGTGCCCTGAGGATAAAAAGACAACTCCCCACAGAGCCACTCCAAGTACAGTGCAAACACTGAACATTTGTGTGATTAAAAAAAAAAATAAATCAAATCCCCAATAAATAAAAAACAAATGCTTTCAAAAGGTCACGTCCAGGACAGATCCAGAGCGGTGACCAGCTTCTAAACTTGATCCTCTTCACTGCTCCCCGAGTTTTGAATTTTCAAGCGACATGTGTTCTGTATTCCCAGATTCCCTCTGCAGCTGCTCCTCTGGTCAGGCAAGTGCTTTAGGCTTTGGTTTATGTAATGTCTGCAAAGCCACACGCACACTCACACACAGACACACACGCATACATACGGCTGAGTGGGTCGCTGCATGGCAAACATTGTGGCAGCAGAAACAGAATCATTATGAACACTTTCACTTATTAACTTGACATGCTACTGGATGCAAGACTTTATTTTCTGGTTCAAAGGAGAGCAAAGCACAGTGATGAGAGGCCGGAATCCCCTCATCTTATTAGAAACAAAACGTGAATATAAAATAGACAGATTGTATTCAAATTTACAAAAATATTTACAACAACGCACCTCGTAATGTCAGAGCTTTATGAAAACGAATAATAATATCAGCAACATAAAAACTAACAACAAATCCATCCATTGATGGCTACTTAAACATTAGAGGGAAAGAAAACAACCCGTAGAAATGGAATAGTTCAAAGATATTTGCAGCATCTTCTTGTCCACGGTTTGTCCCACTCGCTTAAACTTCAACAGATCTCGTTGCTGAAAGGTCTTAGTTGATTTTTCTGATATGACAATGGAGGAAATCCTCAGGCTGTGTGTTGTGTACACAAGCCTGTGCCCTTAAAAAACCCTCCGTGGAGGGGTAAAAGGTCAGCTCAGGGCAGAAGAGACTCTGCTCCCATTAAAATGTTTATAGAAACCATGAAGCCAACATGAAAGCTGACATTTAGAGCAACACTCTGTCCAAATGTGTTGGTCATACCCTACAGCAACAGACTGTAACACAACAGAACAAGAGCTCCACATAGTGGACAATGTAGTTTGTGACTTGGTAATAACGCTCAAGGCACAATTATCCAAATTAATGGGAAAAATGTTGAGATTTTGTTTTTGAGTTGGTATCACATCTGTGTCTGCATGACCATTAAGAGTAAATCAGAAAGATGAACATTAAAAAGTGCCTTCGTGGAGACTGCTTCATTAAGATGCCTCTGCTGGTGTTCTTCATTTGTTTTCCAACAACGTCTCAGCACCATTTCCCGATTGTGAATTGTAGAGACATTGTTTGATATTCAGTTTGAATCCTTTTCTTATGTCGGCTCTCAACTTGTCCCAGCTGCATACTTCAGATTAAGGTCTGTAAGAAAAAGGCATGGATGATTAATTCATTTAAAACGACATAACATAAAGATCTACAATAAATGTACAAACTCTGAATTAACTTCAACTCTTTCTGGAACAACTGAAAGCCTTCGATGGTGTCGTGGAGGCAAGAAAATCCTGTTTGCTGCTAAAACAGGTGGACTTTTTTTGGGACTATTTCAGGAAAAACAGACCAAAGACCAAAGTGGATTTATTATTATAGGTTAAGAAAGAAAATCTACCCCTAAAAAGTTCTCTTTTTAGACAGAAAGTCAGAAATGCAGAGTCAGAAATCGGGGAGAGAGAGAGAGAGAGAGAGAGTAGGGGATGACGTGCGGGAAAGGAGCCACAGGTCGGATTCGAACCCGGGCTGGCCGCCTGGAGGAATATAGCCTCTGTACACAGGGCGCACCCACTTACCATTAAGCTTCCAGCAACCCTGATATTACAACATCTACAACAAAATGCAAAGTCAAGTTTTCTGCAAGAAGCCTCAAAAGCTGTTTTTCAAATCTCAATAAATTTGATTTTTTTTGTTCGTTTAAAAACAAATTTATACCAAAGAGGATTATTTAAAATATTGTTGTTTCAGTAATATAGTAAGTTATTCAGGTGCATATTTGTCTGCTACAGTGCCCTTTTTTAATTCAAATAGTTTACAGCTGTGTTAGTACTACAATCAGATACACTGTACCTTTAAGAGGGTATTGAGACATTATCTATATTTGCTTCAGGAACACGCACACACGCACTCCCACAACAGTGTAGGGCTGTGGGCATTCTCATTCTCCATCTTTGATTTATAATCTTTATAAAGATAGTTGCCGTTAACAATACCTTCATCTAAATCTACCTACCAGGACAAAGGATCTTTGTCAGTGATGCCTTCACTTCCATGAGCTCTGGATTCTCCGCAGAGTCTCTGCTGGCGTGGAAGGTTGTGAAGTGCAGCGCAGGCCACCAGTCTTTTCTCACAGCCATGAGTTCAGAGACAGCGTTCTTCCAGTCTTCTCTGTTTTAATACACACACAGGTTATGCATTATAACAGGCTTCAGTGTGGCTTACAAGAAAGGAAGGATTCTTTTCAAGTCAATCAAACTAGAACGTCCCACATATGTTCTACCTACTGTAGCTGTAGTTTTTGAATAATGGTTTTTAAATGCTTCCAAACGTCCAGGTTGTCCCTCCAACAGGCAAAGTCCAACATTTCCAGAATGACACCGAAAGCTTTCTGGATGTCCGGTTTTTCTCTGGAAACGACAGAGGAGGAAATTATTCCTAATGAAGCATTTCAAATGAAGATATCTCCTGAACCCGAACCAGTTATCACATGATAAGTTCAAGTTTTCTTCACATGATTTATCTCTTGTCACTTTTTAAGACCAAACTTTTTTTTTGCCAAGTGATGGATATTTCATTTGCTCTTACCTGACTGAAGCAGAAAAGAACTGTACTCCAACATCAGCTCATGGCTTGGGACTAATAAATGGAGCATCTATGGCGTGAGGGAGAGAAGGAAGCACAAGTTCCAGATAAACACAAGAGTACAGTCACATTGAGTGATATATTGTGTTAACAGAGCTTTTACTATCCAGTAATTCTTGTGTATGTGTGTGTGGCATGTTCAATAACAGAGGGAATATAAAGCATGTTGTCTTCTTGTCTGATACCTTTAATGCTCCCTTGCTCATCTTCTTGTCTGGGCAATCATGCCTCTTTAAGTACTGGTACAGATAGACATGTGCATTTGGATTGGGGGGGAAATTGCTGTCATACGCGTAGTCGTTCAGGATTTGTAAAGCTTGCGAGTGATCCTCGTAGAATTCCAACATCTGTGAAAATAAAATAACAGATGTGAAACAAGTGGAAACATTTCACTCGAGTCTGGCCTGAAATTGAATAACAAGTGTGATAAGGTGGAAGACAAGATGTTTTTCCATCACGTGAATGTCTCATCTGTCTCTATTTTCTTTTTGCAGGTATTTAAAAAAATGTTCAATTGGCAAATAATTCCTACCGCGCAACATCACACAATAGAGGTGTCCTACATTTGAAGAAATTGAAGCAGTACGTCATTGACTTTTAGATTTAAGAATATCTTGATGAAAGATGCCAAAAGGAAACGATGAATGGGATGAATCAATCATCAAGATGGTTTCTGATATGCTGAACAATATGTTTTTTTTTTTTTTATAAATTCAAGCAGTTGGGAATGAGTTCAGACCTCAACGTAACTCAGTATGAAGGGATCCCAAACTCCAGGATTTCTCAAAATCTCCTTAAGATTCACCGACGCCTGTCTGAAGTAGTTGTGCATGTCTTGGTTGTGGTCTGAAACAGTAGAGCCAGTTGGACAAAACATTGGACACAAACAATGAAAAATTCCCACAAAGTATCAAACAAACAGCATTTAGTGAAACGTGTATACCCAAGTAAAGGTCTGTCAGCCTCATCGTCTTTAGCTCTTATTGTAGTTACCTGTTCTGGCCTGTAAGTGGCGGTGTAACATCATATGAACACAGCCTGGCTGTGTCACTGACATCAGTAAATAATAAATGCTTTGGGTGTGAAGCTTTGTATCAATTTACCACCGTCAGAGAGTGTAGACTTTTTGTCACACCAGATGATGTAATCCAGTAAACTCCTGTAGGCCTGGATCAGTTTAGTCGTCTGAAGTTGAGAGGCCGACTCTTTCCCGTGCCTCCAACTTTCAGCAACAGACAGCTGACGCTTCGCATCCTCGATGTGACCATTAAGCATCAAGTGGAAGGAATGTTCCAGGCAGATCTAGAGCAGCGGAGAGAACAGGTCTTGAATAAAAACACAGAAATATCAACATGACATACTCGGGTCTACTAGCTAACGTTACGTACCATCAGATAATGTCTAACTCCCGAGTTCTTCATGCGTTCGTAGATGTTGTTGTAGTCTTCCATCTTTGAGTTGGGGTGATGATGAAGGATCTCAGTGCTGAGCCTCCAAATAAGCTGGGTCAGAAGGTGCAAAGAAGAGAGCGTTAATATCACGGATGCAGAAACAAGTCTTCATAGCTTTTACTCTATTTAGTCAAACAAGAACGTTTATAAAATAATTGAATTGCCCATTCAGAAACAAAGCTTTTGTGGCGACTTGGTAAAGAAACAGTAAATGGATTGTACCTAGAGTATAAAGCGCTTCTCTAGTCATTTACCCATCCACACACACATGGCAGAGGATCCTTTGTAAAATGCCCACTAGTAATAATCAATCCAATACATACACATCAACACAACTTTGCTAATTCCACTTTTTGGGGTTCCTGTTCCCTGGAAGAACGTTTAGTTTCGCTGGGTTCCTCTGCATGTAATTTTTCCAGAATGACTTGAAACTGGCAGATGTCGTTTCGCTCGAATCCTAAATGACGAAAAACGCGAGACCATCGGACATAACCGGTGTTTTTTGAATTGTAATCTTTGATCACAACTTCTGCACTTTATCTGTGAACCAATTTGCACATTTGAGTTGTTGTCGTTTCTTGATCGTGTGACGTTTATCATGATGTGTGCTGCTGCACTGCTGTGAAAGACGGCTTCATTACCTGGTTAAATAAACTCAGTGTCTCGCCCGAGGACACGTCGACATGTGGAAAGCAGGGATCGAACCGCCGGCCTGCCGTTTGAAAGACGACCCCTTTTCTACGACTGAGCCACAGCCACCCAAACTTGAGAGTGCAGTTAAATTAATGTTTCACAGAACAATAGCCGTTACTGATGTTCCTACTGAGGAAATTTGGTTCCACACTTGACATTTTAAAATAGTTTTGCCACAAGCCATTTCTGGTTGACAGTAAAGGACAATAACAAAGACAAACCCAAACCCACCTCTTTATAGTGCTGAGCTGTCCCATTGGTCGGGTCTTCTAACATCTGTGGGTAACACGCCATATATTCAGAGGCCTCTTGCCACCTATGATGCAGCAGCGCTTCTCTAATCCGCTCCAGACACGTTCTGGTACTCTGATGAAAACCAGTTTCCTTGGGTGACTCTTAAATAGAATACAAACGTTTCTGTTAGTTAGACGACATGAATGCAATAGTCATAAACATTCAAAACAATATGAATACACAGCCAGAGGAACGTAGCTGTCTAGCTCCGGTAGGTTTCACACACGACAATACGTTTGATCATGTCCTGTAACTCACCGACACACGTGGGATTAACCAGAGGGAGCTTTGATTTCTTTGAGGAATTGTCTTCTGAGAAGTCGTCGTCGTCGTCATTATCATCATCTGGGTCTTCAAGAGGCGCTATCTCTCTTTCAATGTCATCCATTGTCAGGACTCAGATAACACTGCTGCCTTTTATCACCTGTGCAGATGCTCAGTGGAGGATTCTCACCTGCAGGGGAAAAGATAATTGCCTACAGCAGGCAACAGTTTTTACACTTTTACTATATCTTTACTGTAGGTGACGTAAGTTCTGTCTGAACCATGTTTTGACGTCTGATTAAATTACTGAACTTTTTTTTTTTTTTACACATGTAGTTTTTTTTTTTTGCTTTGACGTTTCTGCTTGAAAAAAAATCAGCTTTTATTTAATTATAAAAGGCGATTGGTTGACTACTTTAGATAATTTCAATGCTTGATCGACTAATAGTACTTATAGTTTACAGCAAATCATTATGAATGAGCTTATACAGCATTGTTATGGGATCTTTGAGATATCATTTGACGAGAAATGTCAAGCACCAGAAGAGCTACTGACATATACTATTGACTTTATTACCCTGAGACCTCTAAAGATCGAAAAACAATCTTGTTTTCTATCAAAACAAAGTTCAGTTCCTACCTGCAGGGCTGCAACCTGATTCGTTTTTTTTTCCCCCGAAGGTAAATTCCTAAATGTTCAAGTCTAAATAATAGTAGCTTTTATTTTTAAAGATATCTTGTGGTGGTTTGTTCAGTCGCTTTATTTGATTTCCACATGTGAACTGTTGACCATCATGTTTGCAGTAGGTGGCTGAGAGGAAGTAGAGATGAAAAAAAGCTCAACGCTCATTGGTCGCTACGGTCGGAAAAGGCGGGGCAACGAGTTTTTTTTTTCTTCTTCGCTTGTGACTTTTTCTGCTGCTTTCTTTTCGTGCTCGTACTCTTCCACCCTCGTTTGACCCGAGGCGGGAATCTGTATCAGCAAAAAGATTCTCGTTTCAGAAAGTGTTCCTGCTGCAATGCAACAATCATAGATGCCAACCTCCCGTAAATAAACAAACAAACAAAAAACACTTTAGAAGCAGACGTATTCCTGCTTCTCTTGTTGAGTTTTATCTCTAAATATTAAGTTTAACATGTTGCAAAATGCTCTGGCAATCACAGCTTCATTATAATAAATCAAAGGCACCCAGTGTTGTTTTTTCAGTGTATTTTAATATGTTATTTAATGTTTTTTTTCCAGTTGTTTCCAGGAGTATACTTTTCCACTCTGTTTTTTTAACTATCAGTGATTGCATCTCCATTATTTTTTTATTTACATTTATTGTGTTTTTTGCTTTCAGTTAGGAGCACCTGTATAAAAAGGTGTGAAATCACACAATAAAATCACATTATAGAACTATTCTGTGGTTCTCTGTAACTCTTACTCTACGGTATGGTTTTGCTTTGGGTTATGCGTTTTGAAACAGGATATTTGGCAATAAGATATTTCTCCACTTCTCTTAGGATTTGCAACACACATTGTACACACATTTGTAACCGTTTTTGTTTTAATTTTTAAGCCTATTCACCACCACGGGCGGTTCTAGGCAGGGGCCAACGGGGTCCAGTGCCCCTGTAACACTGAGCTTGGTCCCCCCTCCAAAAGGAAGAGCCCCCCCTAATAACACTATACTCAATATTTGACTCAAAAACCGGACTCACAATCTAGTATGAAATACTGTTACTGAAACAAATATAAATAATGGTATTTAATGTTGAGGTATTTAATGATGTGCGCTATTATTTGGCATAATATTTATTTTTTTAAAGCAATCATCTTTGTCTATTTTCCACCTGGGTTTAATTCCCCTCTGACAAAACAACTGGCCCCCAGTTTGGCCCCCCTCAGTAAAAGTGGACTAGAACCACCACTGTTCACCACCTTAACAACCTTGACCACCTCCTTTTTATTATTATTTTTTTTATTGTGTGATTGTGTAAAGATGTGGTTTCGGTGCACAATAAATGATTGCAATGGATTCAGCCTCCCAAATAACCCCTAATTTGACCCCTATATGCTCTTTAAGGCACACGTAAAAAAAATCAATCAATCAAAAAAATCAAGTTTTCAACCAATAAGGTTCCAGGTACCCGAAGTTTCAGCAGCTCTCACGGATTTTCCTACAGGAGTTGAATTTAAATCTTTTTATATGTGTAACTAAAACACCTTTAGAAACACATTAGTGTAGAAATTGGTTGGTAAGGAATTTATTCCCAGATTTTCACTTCAATTGTCCCTTACTACTGGGGCTCTGGGGGGGGATTAAATTGTGCATAATGAAGAAGGTCTTATTCACAATCTTCAAAATGATCCTGGAAGAAACTGTGCACACTAAACGAGGAGGCTACATGTTTTTTTTTTGTTTTTTTGTTTTTTATCACTGTCTCTGCTCGACAAGTCTGATCCAAAACCTAATATCCTGTGAAAAGCTCCCCGAGCCTACACACCCAGCCGGATCTGATCTGCTGACGTGTCGGCTCCTTCACTGCTCAAGCTGCAGATTCAAGCCAGTCAAACAAAAACTGCCAGCATGGCAGCAAAACACTTCTACCGACAGGGCTTTTTATTACTTTTATTTAATTTTATATCCACCGCAGCCTTGGAGAAAAGGTTCTCCGACTTAAAGAGATGCGCGGATGAAGAGTGCAGCAGTAAGTTGTTTTTTTTTTTTCTTGCTTGTTGTAACTTAGCTCATCAGGACTTTGCAGGATGCATCTCCACACACACACACACACACACACATCCCGATAAAACCATAAACTGCGCCTTATCTCTCGACTTGTTGCCGGTCGATATGTGCGACCTGGATAACCTCATGCAGTTGTTTTGATGCTGTGTGACCTACCAAACCCGAGCTAATACTTACAGCCGTCATTAGATTGGAAAGGTTTCGCTTTGCGTTGCATCTCCGGCCTGTCCTACAGTCTGGACTGGTAGCTAATGTTAGCAGCTAGTTAGCCACCGGCAAGCTATTGTTTCACCTCAACAAATACTTGTTAACAATAGACATGAAGTAAAAAGCTCGTTTGATAGCTTGATTTTGAGGGAATATTAGCTGTTGTTTATATTTTCACCTTGTTGATAACGCTACTAAACATAGACCAAGGTTACTGTTGTTTACTTAGCTTCAGCAACAAGCTCCTATCTTTATTATATCCAGGGAGTAATTCAGAATAATGACCCAGTTCACCCCCTCTTTTTACTTTATTTACTTTATTGCTTGATTCAGTCTCATGGGATTGTCACAGCTGTTGTCATAGATAATGTTCACCTGTAAACGCACCCAAAGGTTTACTGTAGGTGAGAGAAATCGTTTAACTGGCCACAGATTAATCAGAGAAAGTAAGATGGGAGTCATAACTGTAAAGATAACTGCAGATCTCTGGAATTAAACAGTTTCACTTTCATTTCATGTTGCATGTTTTGTTAAAAAAAAAAAAGGGGGGGGGGGCAATATTGCAGAGCTGACCCTGTTCTGCTGGATGACTTAATTGTTGATTGAGTACATCTTTTTAAAAGATCATTCAGTTTTGGCTTTTTAAATTTGTTTTTGGGGTCTTACAATTCACTTAGCAGACGCTTTTATCCAAAGCAACGTACATCGGAGAGTAAGTACAACACTAAGTACATTCATACACCGCCACTGAAGAAGCGGGAGCAATGCGGGGTTACGTGTCTTGCCCAAGGACGCATCGGACATGTTGCTCAGCTGGGGATCGAACCAAGAACACCAAACAACTCTACCAACTGAGGTACAGCCGGCCCATCCAGTGTATGCCTTCATCCAGAGGAGAGGACAGTGGATGGATTATTAAAACTGGGATGAAAGAGTGGGGAATGACATGTGGCAAAGAGCTGTGGGTTGGAGTCGAACCCTGCTTGGGCCAACGGCTTCTAGGACTAAAGCCTCTGTACGTGGGGTGCAGATTTTAGCCCCTAGGCCACTTGGCAGCCGGTCTTTTGCGTTCTTGGAATGAGCTTTGAAAAAAGATTGTTAAACCATATCTTTTTGATAATGCTTCATATTTTGCTTTCACAGTGCTCCTGGTTCGAGGGAAAGCTGTACAGGACTTCTCTGGACCAGACTGTCGGTTCCTGACAGTTAAGACTTCAGAAACGATCTATGTTTACTATAAATTATCCGGAAGAAGGGCTGACTTATGGGCAGGAAGTGTAAGTGCACTATGTCAAATAAAACTCCATTAATATTGAGCTTTTTCTATGTAGGTATAATCCTCAAAACTTTCTTGTTTTTCTTTTTATCAATAGGTCGGAAGTAGCTTTGGCTATTTCCCGATGGGTCTTCTTGCAGTAAACCACATTTATACTGACAAAGAAATTGAAATTCCAGCAGAGGTAAAGAAAAATAAATAAATAAATACATTGTTGATTGAGTAAAAATGCATCTGAAATAAAATGCAGCTTTCAAATATCATCACTGCAGCACTTACAAATTCTTCTGCAATTACCGTGCCTGAATGTTTTGTTTTTTTTGTTCTTTTTTTGCAGGAAACAGATTTTGTCTGTTTTGACACTGGATTTGATAAGTTTAATAGTTATGACGTAGATTTACTGTTAGGATCTTCAGTGGCCGAGGATAATAGTGATAATAAGGGATCGTCAGACCAAACAGAGCATCGTGATAACCCTGGGCACCTCCATGATGAAGTCCCAGATGATGAAAGTGCCTCTTCACACAAACTTGACAGGACATCTGAATCACCTACAGAAGTAGAACCGACGGATACACCGCATGCTACTGAAAGAGGTGAAGATAGCACAGAAGAGAACAGGGCTCTTGAAACTGAAGTCCCAAATATGAGTGACACCAAAGACACAGCCACAGAAACTGTAGTGGTTGTTACAGAAAAAGTCTCGATATCAGAAGGAAGTCAGATCCCTGAGTTAAAAACCACACTTGGAACTACATTTGATGCTGTCATCTCTGATGAAGAAGTTACCAAGAAAGTTACACCATATGATGACAAGGAGGAAAGCCCAGATGTGGAAAGTGCTCCAGATGATGACTTTGCTCTAATCGAAGAAACTCCACTTTTGTCTTATTCTGAAGAGACTAAAAACACCCAGCAGATCATTTAGTGGAAGTTTCTAAAGGTGTGCAAATCCCTCCATTAAAAACTACCCTTGGAACAACTTTTGATGCTGTCGTCTCTGATGAAGAAATCACCAAAAAAGTCACCCCATATGAGGAAAGTGAAGATGAAGAGATACCACCAAAAGATGATATCAAGCTGAATGATGAAACTCCGCTGTTGTCTTACTCTGAAGAGGAAGTAAACACTGCAGCATCTGAGTCAGCGAAAATATCTGAAGGCAAGCAAATCCCCAAATTAAAAACTACAATTGGAACAACTTTTGATGCTGTCGTCTCTAACGAAGAAATCACTAGGAGAGTTTCTCCCTTTGAG